GATATCCCTCATGTCCATCTCTCCCTATGTAAAAATGTTATGCACATAAAGGGCCTTAACCCTTTGACTGTCGCGGCCGTATATATACGTCTTACGTGGTACCGTGTTTGACGTATATATACTCATAAATTCTAGCGGCTTCAAATCAAGGAGAAAGCTGGTAGGCCCACATGTGAGAGAATGGGTCTGTGTGATCAGTGTGCACCATATAAAAAAAATCCTGGAGCACGCAGTGCATAATGAGAAAAAAAAACTCCGACCGTTTTTTTTTTAATTAAAATGCCGACTTTGTGATCTATTTTCGTATAGTATTTATGGTTGTATTCTCGTTTTCTTGGTCTCATTTGATAGAATGGAAAACATATTATAGAAATAGAGGTGATTTTGATTGATTTTTCTATAAAAAGAACCTGGAAATGGAGCTCAAAGTAGGGGAAGTGTTTGATTTTTGCCGATGTTCAAAAGTAAACAAATAAATGTCCAACTAGCCATTCTAATATGCAGTCATGAATGGGTTGATGTTATTTACACAATTATTACAGTATTGCAGGAGTCTGCATAATAGTAAATCTTCTATTTTTTGTTTGAATAAAAATTCAAAATAGAAAGCAAGAGTAATACCAGAGGGGCCTGGAGGCATGACTGATGAACAAAGAAAATGTTATTTTAGAGCCAGGAATGTCTGCATTGTTCATTCTGGACCTTATTTTGAAATTGACATATTTTTTAATTTTCATGAAATTGGCCAAATTGCCAATGTCTGACCACTTTATTGGGTAATTGAAATTGGTAAATGGGCAGTTTCTTGAACTCAATCGATAGCAAAAACGGAGTTCTAAAGAAATAGCTATGAGTTTGGTCGACTGGAACAATGGAATTAGCCAAAAATAGGGCTCAAAGTGGGCGAAATCGCCGATTTGTAAATATCGCCAAGGTCGCTAACTTCGCGGGAGCGTAATTCCGTCAGTTTTCCATCAAATTTCGTTTTTTTTTTGGTGTCATTACAATCGGGAAAAGATTCTCTATCATTTCATGAGAAAAAATAATTTTTTTTTTTTTTGAAACTGTGACACCAGGAGACACCTCAGGATTGGGGGTTGCGACAGTCAAGGGAATTCATTGCCAGACCACATTAAAGGACCCCTACCTAAAAACCAATTTAACCCTTTGAGGTTCCATGCCGTAGATCTACGGCTTTACGTTGAGGGTCCAAACCGTAGATCTACGTCATGAGCTCAGCTCACTCTGATAAGCTGTGAGTGGTAAATTTTGGCCTAGATATGAGGGAATACATGTACATCTATATGGTATGTGTGCACCACATAAAAGAAATCCTGCAGCACATAGTGCATAATGAGAGAAAAACTGAGACCGTAATTTTTCCGATTAAAACAGCGTCTTTGCAGTGTTTTTTTGTATGTTTTTTATAGTTGTATTTGCGATTTCTTGGTCTCATTTGATAGAATGAAAGACATATTACAGAAATGTTTTTGATTGGTTTTAGTACTGAAAATGGCTTGAAACTGAGCTCAAAGTAGTGGAAATGTTGAATTTTTGCTGATGTTCAAGAGTAAACAAATGACCTCAGACGTCTAATCCATGCCAGCTGGTGAGTCTAATATGTATATGTTCGCAAATGTGGTGATATTATTAATACAATTATTACAATATTGCATAACAGTAAATCTTCTATTTTTTGGTTTGAATAAAAATTCATTATGTGAATAAAAAATCAAAATGGAATTCATTAGTAAAGCCTGAAAACATAACTAATGAACAGAGGAAATGTTAGTTTAGTGCCAGGAATGCCTGCATTGTTTATTCTGGACCCTATTTTGAAATTGGAGTATTTTGAACTTTGCATTAAATTGGCAAAATTACCAATTTCCGATCACTTCATTTTGTAGTTGAAACAGTTGACTTGGCGAATTCTCGTGCTCAATCAATAGAATAGAAGTAATACTACTGAAATAGCTAAGAATTTGGTCGACTGGAATAATGTAATTGGCCTAAAATGGGAGTCAAATTCGGCAAAATCGCCGATGCTTAAATATTGCTGACACATCAAAATTCGCGAGAGCATAATTTTGTCAGTTTTCCATCAAATTTCATACTTTTTGTTTTATTACATTCAGAAAACGATTCTCTACCATTTCATAAGAAAAAATAGCAAAATTATTTTTTGAAAATTCTTGGACACTGGTGCACACTTTGAAATTTGACCTTTGGGCCCTGAAAGGGTTAAGGCTCTACTTAGAAAACACCTCATCACCCAAAATTAACCAGACAAACCATACTCAATACCTACCAGTGACTTGAAAGCTATACAAAAAAACTTCTAAATAATTTAAAACTGCTCAACTTAAACTTAATTCAACTTCATTACTGTATGTTCCCCTCAAGGAAGGTTCCTTGATGTTGGCGAGGGGCTCTTGATTTAGGGAATTGGATCTGTGCTCCAGTTCCCCGAATTAAGCCTGAATGCCTTCCACATCCACCCCCCAGGTGCTGTATAATCCTCCGGGTTTAGTGCTTCCCCCTTGATTATAATAATAATAATAATAATTACTGTATGTTGTTCTAAGGATTGCTCAGCCATAAACTCATTACTTCAAAATCAGATGCTTAAATTTTATTGTATTAAATAATACTAAATAGTAATACTGTAATTTCATATTGTAAATTGTTTTAAATTGTTCTAAATTGTACTAAATTGTAATAATTTCATATTGTAAGTTTTTAAATTGTACCATTGTACTATTTCCATATTGTAAATTAATTCAAATTGTACCATTGTTTGTAATAATGTTATTTTTATAAACTAATTTTAAAACTGTATTTACTGTACTCGCTGTAACTCATCAATGTCCTTATAATTATCTGTTATTGCTTTACTAATCTCAAGTTAATATTAAGTTTGCACATTGAATGCCTTATTTTATGTTAATATAGACATTTTCATTAATCCGTCTATGATATTTTTATACACCCACAGTATAAAAATTGACATAAATATGAGATGTTTTTACCAAGAGGCTTTGTAGGAGTTTCAGAAGAATTATGTTTTCTCTAGTCAGCCACCAGTTGCTGGGGGATAACTGTAGAAAAATATTCCTTTCATGTGCCTTCACTCTATATATGTGTATAGCTATTCACAACCCTTGTGGGTTTAGTGCTTCATTTTTATTATGATAATAATATCATCATTCACTCTAAAAATGGTGTATTGCATGAGAATGGGAGTGTTGCTGTTTATTCTTGTGTACTAGTACAACTTGTACACAATGTAAGAGTATTTGTATTGTGAGGTAATAATTATTATACGTAATCAAAAAAATATATTGTGAGGTAAAAGTTTCACAAACTTATAAACGTACGTGGATGAACTAAAAGTGGACACGTATTAATACGTGTTTATTTCGCCTGACCGAGTGATCGCCCACCACCCATTCAGTTTGTTTTTACATTGTCTGAACTCCGTATCTTGTTCTCTCTTGTTTACTCTTTCGTCAACTAGTTGGTTCTCGTTGATGATGGCACCTAAGCTTAGTTGTGATAAAAGAGGAGTCGTAAGCCTCTTACTTTAAGTGCCAAGTTAGAAACAATTAAATTTAGTGAACAGGGTATGTCTATGACTGAGATAGCACGTAAGCTTGGTGAATGCATCCCTTTCACATGATGTTACATTCTATAAAGAAATTTTAAGGGAAAGAAAAAAAAATCCATGAGGCAAAGTTCAGTGCTTTCCTACTTTAAGAAAGTATCATGGCAACCTTCAACATCAACAGGTAGCCTTGAACAGCCTTCAGCATCAGCAGCTAGCCTTGAACAGCCTTCAACATCAACAGGTAGCCTTGAACAGCCTTCAGCATCAGCAGCTAGCCTGGAACAGCCTTCAACATCAACAGCTAGCCTTGAACAGCCTTCAACATCAACAGCTAGCCTTGAACAGCCTTCAACATCAACAGGTAGCCTTGAACAGCCTTCAACATCAACAGCTAGCCTTGAACAGCCTTCAACATCAGCAGCTAGCCTTGAACAGCCTTCAGCATCAACAGCTAGCCTTGAACAGCCTTCAACATCAACAGCTAGCCCTGAACAGCCTTCAACATCAGCAGCTAGCCTTGAACAGCCTTCAACATCAACAGCTAGCCTTGAACAGCCTTCAACATCAGCAGCTAGCCTTGAACAGCCTTCAACATCAACAGCTAGCCTTGAACAGCCTTCAACATCAGCAGCTAGCCTTGAACAGCCTTCAGCATCAACAGCTAGCCTTGAACAGCCTTCAACATCAACAGCTAGCCCTGAACAGCCTTCAACATCAGCAGCTAGCCTTGAACAGCCTTCAACATCAACAGCTAGCCTTGAACAGCCTTCAACATCAGCAGCTAGCCTTGAACAGCCTTCAACATCAACAGCTAGCCTTGAACAGCCTTCAACATCAACAGCTAGCCTTGAGCAACCTTCAACAGCCTTCAACATCAACAGGTAGCCTTGAGCAGCCTTCAACATCAACAGCTAGCCTTGAGCAGCCTTCATTATCAACAGCTAGCCTTGAGCAGCCTTCAACATCAACAGGTAGCCTTGAGCAGCCTTAACTTGACTCAAGAAATCGTAATGACACGATTGCAAACAAACCATACCCCCGGCCGGGATTGAACCCGCGGTCATAGAGTCTCAAAACTCCAGCCTGTCGCGTTAGCCACTAGACCAGCTAGCCACAATAAGATTCATCCAACTAGGTATATTTCTACACCATAGGAAGGTTAGCACAGGCACCACTGTGACCACAAATGCAAGTTTTTACAGACGGCATTGAAGGGACTTGAGCTAGAGTTCGTCACGGCCACGCTAGCTGGAGATTCGTCTGTAAAAACTTGCATTTGTGGTCACAGTGGTGCCTGTGCTAACCTTCCTATGGTGTAGAAATATACCTAGTTGGATAAATCTTATTGTGGCTAGCTGGTCTAGTGGCTAACGCGACGGGCTGGAGTTTTGAGACTCTATGACCACGGGTTCAATCCTGGCCGGGGGTATGGTTTGAGCAGCCTTCAACATCAACAGCTAGTCTTGAGCAGCCTTCAACATCAGCTAGCCTTGAGCAGCCTTCATTATCAACAGCTATCCTTCAACGTCAACAGCTAGCCTTCAACATGAACAGTGACACACACTCCTTCAAGAGCTTCACACAAGTCTCCAAAATGAATAAAATTAATTGAAGAATCAGAAGATGATGGTATGCCACCTCCTGATTTTATTCAATAAATACACTGCCACTCACCTCTCACACATTCAAATTAATATTTTAAGGTAAGTAGTAAGTGTACTCTGTGTGTATCTTACTATTATTGTGTCTTTTAATGCCTTGTTCTATTCCTAACTTAAAATAATTTAGTGTAAACTTGTTGTCTGGCATTTATATGCATTTGTAAGTGTAAAAAATGTTGTTGTGCTTTTTGGCAATGTCCACTTTAAGGCGGTAGCCTGAAACCTAACCTGCCATATAAGTGGGGCCCTACTGTATACAAAAAGATAGTGAGGAAGGAGATCATGAACATCCATAGTGGTGAAGTACTTTCCTGTTTGTGGATGCAGGAGTTGAGTCTTGGCTCCTGGTCCTTCCTCTTAACTTGCTCCTTGGATGGAACCTGCCTTCACTACTACTACATCCAGGTCATTCGACTTCTTGACCACCTTGAGGCTGTTACTGATTCCCTCTGTGATATACTTGTGTAGTTATCCACAGCATGTTAGTACTGTGTACTACTGTACTCATAGTAACCGTTACTGATTCACCTCCCTGACCGTTATGACTCACTGCTGACCTAGCATAATGTTTGAATGCCGCTCGCCCTCCAGACACTCGGCAGCTCAGTTCAAGTCAAGACGATAGAGAGGAGGCAAGTCAGGTTTGACGTTCCCCTTATTTTACACTTAATGTAAGTTACCAAGCCACCCATCGTGTGTGTTTATTCCCTAATCTGTGATTGAACTGAACCCCATTTGACATATAATTTATCCAATTTTAGCTTCCAGTTGTGCCCTCATATTTCCATGCCTTCACCTCTCAACCAATCTATCCCTCTCTACCCCATCAGTTCTCTGATTATTTTGTGTACCATTTTCATGTTTTCTTGGTATTTTTAACCTCTAGTGTCATTAGGTTCGATTCCTTTCAATCTCTCCTTATAACTCATTTTCCCTAGGTCTGGGATTGCATGTAGATGTAGGTGTCATCTTCACTGGTGATGGGATGTTTTTCCTTGTAAAATCCTCTCAAAGAAGGTTCCTTGATGCTGGTGAGGGGTTCTTGATCTAGGGAATTGGATATGTGCTCCAGTTCCCTGAATTAAACCTGAATACCTTCCACATCCCCCCACAGGTGCTGTATAGCCCTACGGGTTTAGTGCTTCCCCCTTGATTATAATAATAATAATAATAATCCCTGTAAAATAAGTTTGGTAAGAAGTGGCCTTGAAATACTAAATACTCCATGAATCTGCTAAATGGTATTGCTGATTTCAATGTAGGCTGCTTCTAAACATCATCATCTAGTCCTTAGTGAGAATTCCTGCATGGGGGGGGGGGGTCAGTCTTTAATATTAGCGTTTTCTTCCCATGAACAATAGTGCACCTATGGTTGTTTTACAGGCATATTTGTGTTCAAGAACTAGTGTAAAGATTCCATGTTATTTCCTTGGTATACAGTGTGTTGTATTCTCCACAGGGTATCTTGTAAATGCTTGTTTGTGTTGCTTTGGTGGACGGTAGCTGGCCTGATAATTTTGTGAATACAGCCTCTCCTCACTTAGTGATGTACTCGTTTACCGATGGCTCGGATTTATGATGGGCTCTCTAACCAGTATGCATACCTAAATACATGTAATGTATATTAGAACTGATTTCCTATATTCTGTTTATTGCAACATACAGTACACTGCTGTATAAACATTTAAATATATACTAAAAATTTTATAAAAAGTGACATTAAAACAATATCAAAGGTGGTTGACACAATCCCACTACCATTATAGTATGCTCCTTGCTTGGCAATGAATCTGTTTACCGACGTGGTCTTAGGAATAGAACTCCGTCGTAAAGTGAAGAGAGGCTGTATTGTAGTTCTTGAAGTGATTGCATAACTTATTGTTTAGTGTAAATGTAGAGTGAACTTTATAGTATTTTTAGAGTACTGTTCAGTACGTACGTATTTAACATTTTTATAAGGTTTCACCACTTTCTTGCAGATGTCACTTTTTCGTATGCCTCGTTTCCTGCGGCGGTACATACGTCGACGCACTTCTCATATACCAGAAAATCGTGCTCTTCGGATAAAGTAAGAATTCAGAAACTAGTTCTAATGGAATTTTGTAGTAAATATTTGTCATTTAGCATTTCTATCTGGGTTATTAGTGAGACTTTTCATATGACCATGTTATTTTTAACAAAATTATTTTATTAATTTCTTGTTGCAGTTTACAGTAAATTTAATGAGACCTGTCATACAGCTGTGTTACTTCAAACAATATTATTTTATATATTTATTATGAAGTACTGGGTATGAAGTACAGTGGACCCTCGCCTAACGAATGCATAGCATAACGTTAAATCCGCCTAGTGATACATTTTAACGCAAAAATTTTTGCCTCGGCTAGCGTTAAAAAACTCGCTCAACACGATTCGTTCGAGATGCGTCCATGTGCGGCCTGGGCCCGCCTCACTTGTTCTGTGGGTGTCAGTGTTTACAAGCCAGCCACCGCGGTCGCTTCCAAGCATACAATATGAACATTTCATATTATCACAGCCTTTTTAGTGATTGCACCTGCAAAATAAGTCACCATGGGCCCCAAGAAAGCTCCTAGTGCCAACCCTACAGGAAAAAGGGTGAGAATTACTATGGATATGAAGAAAGAGATCATTGCTAAGTATGAAAGTGGAGTGCATGTCTCTGAGCTGGCCAGGTTGTACACAAAACCCCAATCAACCATCGCTGCTATTGTGGCCAAGAAAATGGCAGTCAAGGAAGCTGTTCTTGCCAAAGGTGCAACTTTGTTTTTGAAACAGAGATCGCAAGTGATAGAAGATGTTGAGAGACTGTTATTGGTGTGGATAAACAAAAAACAGATAGCAGGAGATAGCATCTCTCAAGCGATCATATGTGAAAAGGCTAGGAAGTTGCATGAGGATTTAATTAGAAAAATGCCTGCAACTAGTGGTGATGTGAGTGAATTTCAGGCCAGCAAAGGTTGGTTTGAGAGATTTAACCCCTTCAGGGTCCAAGGCCCAAATCTGAAGTGGTGCCCCAGTGTCCAAGAATTTAAAAAAAAAAAATTTTTTTTTTTCTTATGAAATGGTAGAGAATCTTTTTGTGAAGGTAATAAAACAAAAAGTACGAAATTTGGTGGAAAATTGACGAAATTATGCTCTCACGAATTTTGATGTGTCAGCGATATTTACGAATCGGCAATTTTGCCGACTTTGACTCCCATTTTAGGCCAATTACATTATTCCAGTCAACCAAACTATTAGCTATTTCACTAGTATTACTTCTATTCTATCGATTGAGCACAAAAAATCGCCAAGTCAACTGTTTCAACTACAAATTAAAGTGATCGGAAATTGTTAATTTGGCCAATTTAACACAAAGTTCAAAATATTCCAATTTCAAAATAGGGTCCAGAATAAACAATGTAGGTATTCCTGTCACTAAACTAACATTTCCTCTGTTCATTAGTTACGTTTTGAGGCTTTACAAATGAATTCCATTTTGATTTTTTATTCACATAATGAATTTTTATTCACACCAAAAAATAGAAGATTTACTGTTATGCAATACTGTAATAATTGTATAAATATCATCACCATATTTGTGAATGCATATTAGATCCACCAGCTGGCGCATATTAGACGTGTGAGGTCGTTTGTTTACTCTTGAATATCGGCAAAAATTTAACATTTCTGCTACTTTGAGCTCAGTTTCAAGCCATTTCCAGTGCTAAAACCAATCAAAATCATCTCTATTTCTGTAACATGTCTTCCATTCTATCAAATGAGACCAAGAAATTGCAAATATAACTAAAAAACATACGAAAAAACACTGCAAAGTCGCTGTTTTAATCGAAAAATCATTATTTCAGTTTTTTCTCTCATTATGCACAGCGTGCTGCAGGATCTGTTTTATGTGGTGCACACATACCACATAGATGTATTCTCTCATATCTAGGCCCAAATGTACCAGTCACAGTTTATCAGAGTGAGCTGAGCTCATGACGTAGATCTACGGTTTGGACCCTGAACGTAAAGCCGTAGATCTACGGGACAGACCCTCAAAGGGTTAAGAATCATAGTGGCATACATAGTGTGATAAGGCATGGTGAGGCTGCCAGTTCGGACCACAAAGCGACTGAAAAATATGTGCAGGAATTCAAGGAGTACGTAGACAGTGAAGGACTGAAACCTGAACAAGTGTTTAATTGTGACGAAACAGGCCTGTTTTGGAAGAAAATGCCAAGCAGGACCTACATTACTCAGGAGGAAACGGCACTCCCAGGACATGAGCCTATGAAAGACAGGCTTACTCTCTTGATGTGTGCTAATGCTAGTGGTGATTGCAAAGTGAAGCCTTTATTGGTGTATCACTCTCAAACTCCCAGAGTGTTCAGGAAAAACAATGTCCTCAAGGCTAATTTGTGTGTGCTGCGGAGGGCAAACAGTAAGGCATGGGTGTTACGTTTTGAGTCTTTCTTTTCAGAGAGGAGACCCGTTAGTAACAACAGGTGAAGATCCACTCAGGTCTTCTTACTCTTTTCAAATACACATATATAAATATAAGGCAAAAAAGTTCTATAATGCTTTATCTGGTTTTATTCAGTATAATACTAAGCTTATAGTCACTTAGTAATTTAAATAATTGATAAAATTTAGGTATACCTTTTCTTATAAATTCATATGTACACAATCACTGTAGTTTCATAATCAAAGTCAAGATCAATGAAACACTAGAGAGGGTGCCTTTACCACTTCCTCAATCAATTATTTACACTACAGCTAGAACTGGTTCGAGACCAACACGAGACTTTGATAGTTGGAGAACTCAGACGTGGTGAATTGCTTCAATTATATAGCTGACGGCACAGACGCAACCCGTCAAGTATTCTGTGACTGAAGTAATCCAAGCAACCTTGGTTGAACCCAAGAATCCTGGTTCAAAGGTTCTCCTGAGACTGCAACAAGAGAATAAGGGAGCTCCGTGGCTTGGTGCTTTCTCTACCGGAGGTGAGAATGAACTGCTATGAGTAAAACTTCCTAGCTTGACGTCACCTCGGAATGAGTGAGTTTGTGAAGCATAAACGACCACAAGGCAATTCAATATATAAACACAAAACATCTTACGAAATAAATCAATAATTCATGACCAGATAATATTATAAAACTAGGAGTCTTTATTTTAGCTACGAATAAAGGTACCAGTAATATAATACTAAGTGAAAAAGCCGTAATTACACACTAATCAATTGACCCTTCTTAAATTATGCACAAAGGGCATAACACTCCTCCCGTACGACTGACTGTCGCACCAATAGACTTCAACTCGTACCAGGCACACAGTGCCTCCATTCTATACTATATATCCAGGCAATTGCAAAGACAACGTCCTTCAGAGTAAAAAATATTTTTCAGGGTCACCATGAAGCAGGAGTCAGGAAACGGAATTTTAATCTTTGCTCCATCTCAGAGGTAAACACACAGTACTAGTTGACCTCTGGCGACGTCAGAAGCTGAGGACGTCATGGGAACACAACAGGAGACATGGCCAAAGCAGTGTATATTCTCAGCTTCTGCCAGACTGACATCCTGGATCTCAACTCCATAGGGACTCTTATTTTTTGTTACAGCAATCTTCTTACTGTTGATGGCAAAAGCCAAAATATTAAACACAAAACCAATATTAATTATTTGAAAAGAAAAAAAAAGAAAAAAGGGAATATCTGACTTATCCTTAAGGGCGGGACAGAGCGTCAGCAATTACGTTATCCTGGCCACGTATGTGGTTAATACTTTTTGAAAAGGGTTGAATTCGAAGAGCCCATCTCTGAATCCGGGCATTCTTCGACTTCATAGTATTAATAAAGGTCAAAGGGTTATGGTCTGAATTGACTGTGATTTTGTGGGGAGTAGTGCCCAGGTAAACTTCAAAGTGCTCTAAAGATAACACTAAAGCTAATGCTTCTTTCTCTACCGTTGCATAATTTAACTGGTGGGACTTTAATTTGGCAGAAAAGTAGCAAATAGGATGAAGAATATTAGAGGAGGATGAGGGTTGTAGCAAGACTGCTCCCACAGCATAGCTACTGGCATCTACATGCAAAGAAAAGGGGACATCAAAATTTGGACTTTGTAATACCGGTGACGATTCAAGTAATCGTTTCAATTTGCTAAAAGCCATGTCACATTCTGAGGTCCAGCAGAATTTAACTTTAGAACTGGTTAATTCAAACAGGGGAGCTGTCACCTGAGAGAAGTTGGGGCAGAACCGGCGGTAGTAGCCTGCCATCCTTAGAAATATTTGTACTCCTTTTCTGTCCCGAGGTATAGGGAATTCTGAAATGGCTTTGATCTTAGCATTAAGAGGTGCTACTGTTCCTTGGCCGATACTGAAGCCTAGATATTTTATTCGGGCTTGCCCAAACTCTCACTTGGCTAAATTAACCGTAAAATTGTATTCTTCTAATTTTTTCAGAAGTGCTTCTAGCCGAGACACATGCTGTTCCCACTCTTCACTTATCACCACTAAATCGTCCAAATAAGCTTCCACACCTTCCAGCTCATAAGTTAGACTATTCATCATTTAGTTATGCCGAAGGGCATAACTAAATAGTTAAATAGACCACCAGGAACAGTAAAAGACGATATCTCTTGGGCTCATGTTGACAGTGGTACTTGGTAATAACCTCGTAACAGGTCTAGTCTACTCACATATTTAGCCCCAGAGACTTTATCTATTAAATCGTCTACCCTAGGTAGAGGATACCCATCTGGTAAGGTCACGGAGTTTACCTTCCGGTAATCTGTACACATACGGTAAGATCCATCTGCTTTAGCCACGAGGACACAGGGCAAAGCCCACGGACTTTTGCTGCATTCGATCAAACCGTGAGTTAACAGAAAATCTATTTCCTCTCTAAGTGCCTTATTTTTCACTGGGCTCGTTCGATACGGGGCTTGCTTGATTGGCAGAGCACCTTGTACATCCACATCATGTGTCCCCAGAGTGCAACGTTTGGGGACGTCTCCGAATAAACTTGGATAAGCCAGTAGCAACTCTTTAATCTTTCT